TTAAAATAACAGTCATTAGATTTAATATTATTAATAAGCTTTTTAATTTATTTTATAAAATATGATGTATTAGAAGTAATGATATGGCCTATAGAATGAATATAAAGTTGAGAGGCTTGTTAAATCTAGTTAATTACTTTATTTTAGGTTTGGTTATAAATAGAAGTATTAGTTGATAACAGATATACTGAAATGATGCAAAGCTTGATATTATTTTGAAAGAAAATATCAAGTGCTATAGCATCTTTAGGATGAGTGTAAATACTATAAATATAAGGTTTAAGATAATTGCAAATCATAATAGCAGTGTTTTCTAAAGAGATAGAGGAGTTAGACCAGTAATAAGTAAAGAAGTTATTATTGCAGAAAAAAAGGTTAGATTTGTTAGAGATTTTTGTTTTTATGATGCTTGCAATAGATTTATCATAATTGAGACAATAATTCTATTATGATTTTCTTTTAGTAGATTTATTAAAGCCTTTAACATTGTGTATAGCAATAGTTAAGTTGAGATGATTTAGAGTTAAATTAAATAAAAGTAAGAAAGAATTACAATTAGAGGTTAAAGAATGATTATTGAAAAATAAATCAAGTAGAATAAAAGTAGGATTAAAAAGATTAGATCTAAGAGGAAAATTATAAAATATAAGAAGAAGATATAGAGTAATAACAATATGATTTAGTAAAAGAGTATTATTAGAAAGATATATATAAGTTTTATTATAAGATAAGTTAACAGAAAATGTGATACAAGATACTATTTTGTTGTTATTATATTTATCAATATGTTGAATTAAAGTTTAAATAGTTTAACTATAAGAAATAAGTGGTAAATTGTAATAAAAAAGAAATTTGTTAAAGCATATATAAAGATTATAGAAGATTAAAGATGTTGTAAATAATCTTTTAAAATTGTCTTTTACAAGGTTAATCACTGTATGCTTAGCTCTTACAGCTGTACAAGATACTATAGTCTGCCTTGTATATTAGGTCTAACTATTATTATTTTGGTTTTTCATATAAATAGATTTGTTCATCTGCCTATTTACAGTATCTTATTTTTTTTTACTAACTACAATGAATATGTCTTTTATTAAGGTAGTAGCTGCTTTAATATTAGTTGTAACAGACAAAAAACTTAAAAAAAAGATTATAAAAAGAGTGAGTCTAAGATAAAAACAGATTAAAAGTTAAAATTAAATTTTTTTGATAAAAATTTTTTAGCTGTTGAATAGTCAATATCATTAAAATATTTTACAATTTGTAAGTAGGTTTGCTTTTGGTTTTTGATAATATTTAAGTATGTAATAATTTAAACAAGAAATTTAGTATTAATAATGTTTTTTGTAAGTAAGTTAATAGTCTTCTTCTTGGACAGAAACTGTATATTATGATTTTTAGCAACAGTTTGATAATAGAGAAAGAGGTAACAGTAGAAGTAATAATTGCAGTGTTTAGAATTAGTTTTAACTTTGTTTTGTTCATAGACAAAGTTTTCAGCTTGATTAGCTAGTTTGGTAGAGATAGATTGGTCAAGTAAAGCAGCATTAGAGTAGCAATTTGGATAACTATATCTGACCTGATGCAGATATTATTTAAACAGATATATCTGAATCTGATATTAGATCAGATCAGATTATTTGTTATCTTTTTACAGATATCTGACTAATATATTAAAATTTTAAAGATTATACTAATAATATAAATAATACATATTTATTTTTACAATGATAATTCTATCATGATAAATTCTATACAAGAATAATAAATTTATTATTATATAAAGTCAGCTAAACAATAATAAATAATACATTATTTGGGATGAATATTTTGATATTGATTGATATTTCTTTTTAAAAACAGCATTCTTTTAAAAAGCTTTGGAGAAATACAGATTCTCTTTGATGTTATTAAGTTATCAGCATCACTAAATAAATATTCACTTGGGGTGGATGTCACTAGAACAGCCAGATAAATTCTTGCCAATTTAGATAGTATAGGAAATTTTTTTGAATATAAGTCCCATCATACCAGAAAGTCTTTTTTGAGACTTATTTTAGGTTGTCTCATATATTTATCAATTTCATTAGCTGACAGATGATCTTTTTTTTCTAATGATCTTAACAAATATAGTATATATAGTAAATTTGTAGTGACCATAAATTTATCAGGTGTTTTGTTTTTCAAATTATGAGGGTTGTTGTCAAGTTCTTCATCTTGATCTATTTCCATAGTTTTTTCATTATCATATAATTGTCTAAGAAAATTTTTAACAGCCACTTTGTTTATACTATTCATATAATCAAAAGATTTAAAATGTGGATCTAATAATGTAGACAGTAATTCTTGTAGTATAGAATCAGGATAGTAATAACATAAAATTTTATAAAAATTATGTTTTACTTTTTTTAAAAGACTTGTAGTATCTACTAGTGTATTTAATTTAATTTGTAGTTGTTAAGTTTGTGATTCTTTTTCTTCATAATCATCAAATGCATCATATTTGATATTATCATTGTATAATTCATCTTCATTTATTTGATTTAGTTTGAAAATGTTTTTTATTTCTTTTATAACCTGATGCATAAGACTATGTGTTGCATAATAAGAACTACCCAAATATCTTGTTACCTATAAATTAATTTTAATTAATAAAATAATTATACATATAATACAATTTAATAAAAGTTTTATTTACTTCTTTGAAAGGTCCAAGAACTTGTAAAAGTGTTTTTAATAATTCCCATTCTGAAATTGTTAAATTAATTTCCTGTAACCTCTTTTCATCTTTACGTTCCTCAGAATTTTTATATGTTATAAGATAAATAATAAGAAGTTCAATATATACTTTAATTTGAACCAATCAAATCCATGCTAAATAAGAACTATTCTACAGAGTTTTACAATCTGAGATACAATTAACAAATATTAGTAGTTTCTTTAGCATTCTATAATTATATTAAAAAAATTAGAACAGTAAAAAATAGTTTAATAATATTTAATAATAATATTTACTACATATATTATATTTGGATCTTTTTTTAAATTTCTTCTAGCTGTTCTGATTGTTTAGGACATAAAAAAAAATTAATTAAACATTTTGCGCAAGCAATTAAAAACTCTACTGGTAATAATGCTTTTTCTATTACTAATTGTAATATATGCGAACAACAATGTTGCCATATAACTTTATCCATATTCAAAACAGTTTTTTTCATGTTCAAACTACTATCAGTAGTTATAAAATATACTTTTTCACTAAGATCCCAATATTTAAGAATTTTTTCTATAGTTTCACAAATATGAACAGCTGTATGTGGATAACAAACATATTGAATTGCAAGAGTTATTTCCTTTAATTTAAATTGATGATTGATATAAGAGCATGTGATTCCAAGATAATCTTGTCAATTTCTGGCTATTCAGAAATCTATTATAAGTGAAACTTTAAGCACATTTTGTTTAATATATTCTTGCAAAAGAGATAACAAATAATAATAGGCTCAATAAATGATTTGTTTAATTAGTTAAACATCAGGAATTAAAAATGCTGAATCAAGTCTATTTATAAATTGATGAAAGGCTTCATTTTGAACAATAATCAAAGGATGTGAATCTGTTATAAGCCAATCAACAAGTAATTGTTGTAATTCTTTTTGTTTTTTTTCATCATGAGGTGAAATAGATCTTTGTGTCTAAATTATATTAATTAAATTTAATATTAATATTTGACAAATTTAATATTAATATTAACTAATTAATATAACAATATATCTTTTTAGGATTCTGATTCAATTTTGTTACACTATGTTCAGCACTTAAATGTTCAATAATATTACTGATTGAGGATCCAGTTTTGTATGTTCTTCTATATTCTTTACCATTTAATATCTTGATTTTATATATTGAATATGTTATCTATTTATTGTTTTGTTTGCAAAGTTTTTGCCAGTAAAATAGCCACACTCAACTAGGCTTTTTTGATATATTCAAATGAAGAACTTCTTTTTCAGAAGCTTCATTAATTTCAATTAAGCCAGAAAAATTAGAATCAGATATATTTTATTTTTTGGAAGCAGACATTTTTTAATAAAAGTGTTAATAACAATAATAAAAGTAATAGTAAGGTTTTATTATTTATTATTAATAATAAAAATAATATGCAATGATTTATTATTTAATTTATAACTACTAATTAAACGGATGATCAGATAATTAACAGATAATTAAAGTCTATCCAAGCATAATTACTTTTTTGAATAGTTTAGTTAATATCCATGTAGGATTGGATAGATAATCGGATAGTTAGGATTTTAGACTACAGATTGCTACTCTAAGCAGCATGTTCTTTATTTTTGTGAAATAATATAGAGTTGAGAGTTGAATAAATCCAAGTTTTATTATTTTGAGCAGAAAATGTTAGGCAGGATTTAGTTAGAATGTTATTAAATAGTTTGATGCTGTCATGAAATTTTTTATTATTAAGATATTGACATTTTTTGTTGTTACAAGTAAGATAATAAAAGTTAGCAACATAAGATGCTTCTTTATATTACTTCTGAAGTGAGTTAAGTTTTTTAAATATAGAAGTTTCAGGAAGATGTTTAGAGAGTTGAAAAATAAAATATTGGCAAAATTGAATTCTAAGAAAGGTGCAAACTTTTTCTTAATCAATATTAGAAGAAAATTGTTTACTGTAGAGAGAATAGTAGATATCAAACCAAGAATTAAAGTAATCAAAAAAATTTTTTAGTAAAGGAATACAAAATCTTTTAAGAAAAAGAGTTTTGAAAATATTAAAGTTTGATATTAAATCTAGCATCTGACTGAATAGTGAGATATTTTTATTTAAGATCAGTAGTTTGTGTAAAAAATTCAATTTTAAATCTTTTGAGTCTAAGCTAAAGGTCTTCAGCAAATTTTTAATATTAATAGATTGGTAGTTATTAGATAAAAAAGATGAAAACATGCAAAATTGAGGCAGTATTGAAGGCAATTATAAGCTGTATATAGTGAAATAATAACTGGTAAAGCAAAGATTTTGAGGTAATTAAGTTTGATAAATAGGATAGTTATAAATTTAAGGATGAGGTTTTTGAAGATAAATTCAAAAAAACAAAAGGAATAGAAACACTTTTGTTAATATTAATATTGCTATTGTAAATAAGATCAGTTAAAAATTTAGCCTGTTGTCTAGCTATAATACAAATAAATAGCAGAATAAAGCTTTGAATGCAGGTTGAATAACAGTAGCTGGCTTAATTGCTTTGTCAAGATAGAAATCATAGAAAAATTATTTAAGAAATATAAAAAGTTAAAGAAAGAATGAAGTTAGTAATTTTTTATTAAGTTGTATTTTTTTAACAACTGAAAAATTTGTAATTCAGTTATATATAAAATTAGATTTTGGTTTGAGAATGCTAGAATAAGATTTGAAGAAAGGTTTGTTAGAAGTATTTTTAAATTAGTTAGTATTTCTAGAATTATTAAAATTTGAATTAGAAATATTAAGAATTTTAATAATAAGAGGTTGGTTAGCAATAGAATTAGTATTAGTAGTTGTAGAAAAGAAAAAATCAATAAGATCAGAAGAAGTTGAGATTTAGTATAAAGAGGCAATAAGAGAATTGGTAGTTTGAAAAGATTCATGTTAGATGTTTTGAAAGGTTTGGGTGAGGTTTTTCTTAGTTTAAGATGAACTAACTTTATGTTGAAATAAGGCAGTTATACAAGTAAGATGATAAACTTTATTATTTTTAGAAATATATTTTTCAGTAGGGTAATGATGCTCATTTTTTTTGGTATAACTAATTAGAAAAGAATATTTAAGACAAGTATAGTAATATATATTTGGTGTAAAGGATTAAAAAATACTATTAGTAGAGGAAGAGAAATTAGTCATAAGTTGTTGGGTTGTTTTATTAATTTTTTTGAAGTTGCTATTAATATAAGCAGTTGTAAATCCAATAGCTTAGATGTAATTGGTGTTTGAAGTTGAGATAAATTTGATATAATATTTGCTACAAAGACAAGTAATTATAGAAGTAGAACTAGGTGCTTAAAAGAAATGAGTAATCTTATTTAATCTAAGATTTTTTGTTAAGCAAGTAATAGATTAGACTTTGAGAGAAATTTGGTGAACCTTGTTATTATTTTCTTTGTTAAGAGCAATTCCAAAACTGTTAAAAAAGTTTTAGTAGAAATAATTAAGGTCTGCTGTATTAGGTTTTTTTACTTAAGGTATTGTTAAGTAATAACAAGTTAAGTGAAAATTTTCTTAAAAACTTAGAGATTTTTCTAAATTGATTTAGAAATATTTTCTAAATAGAAAATATAGTTGTAAATCATTCTTGCATTTTGTTTGTTTAAACTTTCTTTATATTTATATTGTTTTTAATTACTATGTTTTTTTGCTTCTTATACTTGCTGCTTCATCTGTATATATTATGTACTTGTTCTTATTTTTTATTATATTTCTTCTTAAGACTTCTATTATTTCTTAATTAATATATTTTTTTAACTTTTGTCATCTAACAATTTTTATTTCTAGCTCTTCTACTGTTATAAGTTCTTTAAGCTTTTGTTCATTAATTTCTAATCTGTTTGTCTTTATTACATCTGTTATTTAATCTATTATTATTTTAATCTTATTGCTGCCTTTTTTTATTAATGTATTTGAAACTATATTGATTTTGCTATTTATTTTTATTTATTGTTAGCAGCTATCTTCTATCTGTTCTTTCTTTCTTGTACAACTCTTACATCATTTCATTTTAGCAACTAGTTCATCTTTTTTGTTCTGCATTTGCTACTATTCTACTAATTTTTTTTTCTTTTTAATTGTTTTCTTCAACTGTTTGTAGTTTTATGTACCATATATCACTTATTCTCTCTTTTTTTGTTTTTTAAGATATGCTTTTACTTGATTTGTATTGTTTGAATATTTTGACTATTTGTTTTAAAGTGTTCTTTAATTTCTTTGTTTTCTGGTCTGCTAAGTATCTTTAGTTCTATTATTTTGCTTTTTTTCTTTTGCATAATAGATCTTGATAGTTTTTTATCTATTTTCATATAATTAGCTTTTTTTTTCTTATATCAAATAGCTAATTTAAGTATATTAAATCTGATTTGCTTATTTTAATTTTACTTTTCTTTTACAAACAAGTACTCACAAGCCTTTTTATTTCAGTATTATGTCTAACTGTTGTCTATAAGTTATTTTTAGTTTTAATATTATTTTTAGCTTTCTTGCTTTTAATATTATTAGACATATTAGATTATTTCTTTAGCAACTTTTATTCTTGGTATTTTTTTAATTTCTATATATCTTCTATTAAATTTGCTCTTTGGCAACCTTGTATTATTCTTAGTTTTATTAGCTGTTCAAGGCTATTATATTTGTTTAATCTTGCTAATAAGTTGTCTACTTGTTTTATTATTAATTCTTGTTATAATGTTCTATATCTTTGTGCTTTATTATGCAATTTTCTAATATTTTTTGCAGGTTACCTTTCTGTTTAGCTAAACTTATTATTGGTTGATGTATTTATTTATACTTCTTTCTAACATCTTTATTAATTGCAACATATAACTTAACTTTGGTATTATTACTATATTATTTATATATATGATTAGCTCATTATTATTTTTTTGTATTTGAGATCTCTTATTATTTGGCTTATTATTTCTTTTGCTTTCTTCTTTACTAGTGCTTTTTATATTCTGCTATTTAGTTATATTTCTTGTACACAGACTATCAAATTTTTTGGTTTTTCTACTATTTTATTTTTTTTGAATACTACTTTTTTTTTTCTTAATTTTTGTATTTATTATCAAAATTTTTGATTTGAACCTATATTATTTATCTTAAAAATTTCTTTAGCTGTTTTTAAGATCTCTAATAGTTGTCTTTTATTACTTATTATTCATATTGTATTATTTGTATAT